TTTTTTTCATATACATATTATGATTTTTCAAAAATTATTTTCAAATAGTTTTCAAAACCTTGCCCATTAGGATTTGATTTAGAGAACCTTGAATTATTGATGACTCAATTGAGTTTTGGGATTGATTAAATTGCATACATGTGTTTCAATTTGCAGGTTATATTCCTTTTTTTTGATTCCTAAACCATGTATAATCCCAAACGCCCTAGAACGTCATCGATTCATTCTCGTTCAAACCAACCTCCAAATCACATTCCTCCTCCACCTAATACTCTAATAGGATCCTGTTTTGATATGCCTGAACGTCGTAGAGACGAATTGTACTCTAGGTACAAAATTCTTTCCAATCCTATAGAATCCGGGAAGAGCATATTCCTCTCTTCAAGCCATGATTGATATTGACTTCGAATGCCTTCCGATTCTTAAAACTTGGAAGTTTGATAAATTGTTTCACCTCAAACCTATCGTCTATCAACAGTTAGTCTGCATCTTCTACTCCAATGCGGTATGCATTCAAAACCAAACTCAATGTGGGACTATAGCCATTAAATCCTATCTTTTAGGCTAATATATTAATATTGACCCCGAGACTATAGCTTTCCGTTTTGGGTTAGATGATGATGGGTTATATAATGAGAATGAAATGTTGAATATCCCTATGTTCCAAACTCTAGTGTTAGTACTCTACGATCTCATCACGATCGTTTTCTTCATTTGATGATCTCTTGGTGGTTTAGACCATCCGGAGGTAGGTACTCCACTCTTCGTACTAGGGATTTATGGTGGATGCACTGTATTAAGAATAAGATCAAAATAAATCTGCCTCACATTATTTTTAGTCAACTAGTGGATATCATAAACATTGTTCCTTCAAAACATGTCGAAACATTAGTTTATAGATGTCTTCTTAGTAACCTTTTTATCAAACTCGGTCTAAATGTCTCTCTTGACAATCCTATTCCTCTCCAAAACCCAATCAATCCCATCTCGTTGAAGAAAGCCGATTGGAAACAAGACGAGGTAACCGGTCTTTGGGTTTTTCGACTCGGTAAGCAAACTCAGGGAGCGAGTTCTTCACGAATTGCTCCTAGCTCTTCTCGTGCTCATCCTCCTCCTCCTCCGGCACCGGCTGCTGACGATGATCCAGAATTTCAAAGCTCATGCAATATATTGACTATCACGTACCAGACGATGAGCATGCACCGAAACCAACACGGCAAGAAGATCAAATGCCACCATATTTTTGATCTTTCTTAGAGTCGTTTGATATCAGGTTTGCCTCCATGGAGTCTCAGATTACTGAGTTTCAGCGGGAGATGCGTGAACGAATTGACGCTCTCACTCTTGAAGTTCGAGCTCATTATCCTCCTCCTCTCGATCATTTGACGGAGTAGATTTGTTTCCTTGTTATGCTTTCTTGGTTTTCTAAAACTTGGATTGATTTTGATATTTCTGGATTGTTTATTTTGGATCCTTAAATGTTTGAATTTGTTAGGAGTTATGATTTGGATGCTTGGTTGATTGAACTTATTATATGTATTTGGTTTGATTTTAACTTTATTATTTTGAGCTTAATGTTTCTTAATTTTTGCATCATATTAGTTCATTGTGACCAATTATGCCATTTCACATTTGATTATGAATATTGATTATGAAACTAATGGCTAATCTCTCTTTTGATCTTTGATCTTAGCAGCTTAAGCTAAATATATATTTAATCAATTGGCTATGTTTTTCAAAACCTTGTTTAAATCGATTTTTAAGTCTTTTTGATTTAACAAAAAGGGAGAGAAATGTTAAGTGTTAAAATGTTTTAAAGGAGAGAAGTGTTAAAGTAAGGGGGAGTAATTTCAAACTTAATTTTTCAAAATTTATTTTCAAAGAAAATCTTAAAATTACACACATGTTTTGTTATATCAAAAAGGGGGAGATTGTTGAAAACATTTTGATGTTTCGATATAACAAATTAAGTTAAATGAATTTTAAGATTTTACAAATGATTTTCTAAGTATATTCGATTTAATTACTCGAATATCAAATTATTACTCCAAGTCTTCAAGATCAATTTCAAACCTTACTAAAAGTGTAAAATTGTGTTTTATACTTAATATATTTTTGAAACAATTTTCACAAAGTATTTTGAACCAAAATCAAGCCTGAAATCAATTTTTTCAAAGTGATGCACCGATGCATGGCACTAATGCACCAATCCATGCATCGATGCACCATGGAATAAATTGAACATCGAATGCATTTCATGCATCGATGCACATACTATGCATCGATGCACATATTTATGCATCGATGCACTCAGAGTTTTATGAAAACATCGAATGCATTTGATGCATCGATGCACCAGCCATGCATCGATGCACTCTAGCTATTTTGAAACATCGAATGCATTTCATGCATCGATGCACTCTTAGTGCACCAATGCACTAAGGGTCCAACGATCAAAATATTTGAATTTTACACTTGATGCAACGATGCACCATGGGTATGCATCGATGCACAGACGCTTCCAACTGATTTTATTAATTGTTTTCACACTTATACGACTATATTGACTCCACTAACCATCCCCAACATTCAGAATCATTTGAAGGAGTATTTAAACAAGTTCTGAAGCCATTGATCAACAACAAGAAAGAAGAAATCATAGAGAAACAAGAGAGAAAGCATCAAACATCAAGTTTGTGCAAATCAAGCCAATTTTCCTTTCAATATTCATTTTGCTTTCAAGAACACAATTTGTGCTATTTGTAATCATCTTTGAGTGTTCTTATCTTGTTCTAGAATTGTGTAAACATATTGCCTTGTAGGTTTTCCTTGTAAGTTTGCAAATTTGTGTATTTCTCTTTGAAAAAGATGTGCTCAAGAATTGGGGTATAATTCTTGAGGGAGTTGTAAGGTTACTCTTTGTCCTCAAAAGAAAGATCAAACTAGTGAATTTGTTAGAAAATCCTTAGTGTGGATAGCTAAGGTAGTGGACGTAGACTTTGGTTGAGAAAGTCAAACCACTCTGAATCACTGTGCAACTTCTTTCAATTTTCTGCAAAAGCTTCCACCATTTTTTAAATTGCCAATTCACCCCCTCTTGGCCGATTCCGTCGATCGATTAACTCAACAGAGTTGACCCGAATAACTCAAAATTGAAAAAAAAATTGATTTTTTATTCAAATGTTTTGCTCATCCCTAAACTAAACATCTCTCTAAAAAATGATAAAATATATCAGTCACCTAACTATGACCCTTTTCATTTTGAGAGCTATTTTTGAAAAAATTTCAACCATGTCACTTATCTATTTAAATAAATTCAATTAAGCCACATGCCATTTACTTTTGACGAAAATATCAACGTGACAGTTAATAAAATTGATATAATTATACATTTGGTCACTCTTACTTATATATTCTATCAATTTAGTCCTAACTTTAATAAATTAAAATAAATTTAATCATTCAATTGGATGGTGACCCCGAATGAAAATTAAGAGCGCTGGAAGAGGGGGGATTGAATTTGGGCTGTATGGGTGATAAACAAAGAGACTCAACTAATAGGACAAGACTACTTATTTGCTTTGAAGTGGACTACATATGATATATAGCTTATATCTTAGTGTAATTTTAAATTCCTAATATTATATATATCTTAACTTAAATTAAAATCTTAATAAAATTAAATATATATTTTATTCTTATATTAACTAAAGTAAAAAAAGTTAGTATTTTCTAAACTTAAAATAATATATTTTACTTTTACCTTAACTTAAATATTTAAATTTTATTATTATAATATTTTAAAATTAAGATAGAAAAATATTCTTTATAGTTAAGATAAAAATAAAATATATTTTTAAATAAAAATAAAAATAAGATATACATTTTTAAACTAAAATAAAATATATATTTTAAGTTAAGATAAGAAAAATAGAATATAAAATATTTAATAATTTAAGTTAACAATAAAATATATGTAAAAAGTTAAGATAAAAATAAAATATATTTTTAAGAGTTAAGATAATAATAAAATACAATTTTTAAGTTAAGGTAGAGATAAAATCTATTTTATAAGTTAAAGATAAGATTAGAATATATTTTTCAGTCAAGACTGCTCCAAGGCAATCTTGGCTATTACCGCTCCTAACAGCCACCTCAGTGCTAATCCTCATGTTCGAGCCATTTCCAAGCTCCAACGTCGGGACTGGCTTCTTGGATCTCACGTGAAGCAAACTTTCCTGTTGATGCCTTGAAAAAGAATGCACCTATGCCTCACTTTGCGCAGACAAGTTTCGATGCCCCTCCCAGCTTCATCAGTGATATTTTTTTCCGAGACCTTAGAGACCCTCTATTGTAAAACTAGCTTGAACTAGTTTGTTTTCTCTCCAACTCCAATTCAAATAGATATATATATATTTATTAAGTTAAGAAAAAAAACAAAATATATTTTTAATGTTAAGGTGTGATTTTAAGTTAAGATATATATAATATTAAGAATTTAAGATTATACTAAGAAGCAAGATATATATAATATGTAGTCTATGATAAACCCAAAAATCAACTTGGCCCAGTGGTTGAGCCCTCCTTTCTACCAATCTCAATTTTCGTTCCACATGACAAATGGTACCATCCAATTATAGGATTAAATTTATTTTAATTTATTAAAATTAGGATCAAATTGATAAAATATATAATTAAGAGTGATCAAATGTGTAATTTATTAATTTTATTAACTGTCACATCAACGCTTCCATTGAATGTTAATGACAGGTGACTTAATTGAATGCATTCAAATAATTAAGTGACTTGATTGATAATCTTTAAAAAAAAATGGTCAAAATAAAAAGAGACTATAGTTAGGTGGTCATTGTATAGTTTACCCAAAAAATTAAACAAGGCCGAATTGAACAGAACAAGAGGCCCTTGAATACTCATAAAAACCCAAAGCCCACTGAAAGCAGCCAACCCGACCAAAACCTGTCAATAGAAAAAAAGAAACTCAAAAAGGAAACAAAAATTCGCCTAAAAAACCAAAAACATTTTTAGCGAGCGAAAACCCAAAAAAAAAAAATTACACAAAGGTGTAAGGACTCATAATAGAGAGACTCGATAACGTGCTAATAGATTGCATTTCACAGGGATGTGTCGTATTTTGGGGTTAATTTATGTCGTTTTATTGAGGACAACAACGTTGAGGAAGGTCTCGTAGCTTCAAAACCCTAGGAGAGAGATAGGAGGTAAACATAGCGCTAAAAAGAGCGGGAACGTTCAGGTACTCCTCTGTGCTTTGCCCTAGTTCCTAATTGCTCGAGTCCCTACCCCATTTCAGGTTATTGTTCGCCCTTAATTTTCGTTTTGGAAACCCTAGAATTCGAGCAATGTTCCTAATTAGGGCACACTTTCCGTGATTCAATGCGTTTAGGGTTTCGGTTTGTCCTTCCCGTCCCTTTCCATTGGCATTTCGATTGAATGCTTGTGGACTGACGTGGCAGCTTCTTCATATATGTTTATTGCCATTAATTCGAAGTTAAATGCTGGAGAAGCTCATTACGCTCTAGGCTTTGTAGTTTAGCTACTGATTTTGGACTTCTTGTGGTTATTATCCTGGAATTTGTAGAGAATTACTGGTGCCATACTATTTTCATACTATCATTTGCATCTATGTATGCATATGTATGATATGAAGGATGCTTATTGGGTGGCATTGGTATAATTGTTATTTACTGTTATCCAGCATTGCTTTTGTCCTTCCAATTAGAGCCGAGATATATATTTCCTTTATTGTGTTCTTTAACTGTCTCAAACTCAGTGGCATTCTCTCCTCATGCGAGTTTAACTTTGTTTCACATGTTTTTAATTAGATATAAGGTGGGTAGTGAAATTTAATGGCTTTTGGAGATAATTTGTTTATCTTAAGTTGCTTAAAACTGCTATGCTGGAGGGAAATTAAAAAAAAATGATAGATATGAAATCTTGTGGAATCGATGATATGATTATGTAAAACTTTTTTCCCTTTCTGGGTAGTAACAACTCATTGTGAAAAAAGAATAAAAGTTAGGAATGATATAGTCTTTCTTTATTCTTTAATTTAGTTTTACCCTTTCTATCATGCGTTTTGTTTTTTATCAGGAAAAAAAATTTACAGTTGTCCTTATTGAAGCATTTTTCCAATCTACCTTCATAATTCTTCTCTTTGTATTGCTGTACATTTGTGGGGAGTTTATACCTTGTTTTTTGGAGTTGGTTTTATACATATCCGAGCTTCTGGAAAAGTTTGTGATTTTTTTAATTATCTTGAGTGATGTGATGCTAGTAGTTTGTATCATTGTGAAGTGTTACAAACATGAATCTTTGTTGAACTTGAATGAAGAAAATTATCATACTGAAGTTATGATGGTGTATCCTTTGCAACTTACTGGTGTGAAAAATATTTGTTCATGGTTCATTGCTGCTTCTTTTCAATTCATTGTTCATTTATTTTCCTATATACTCTAGTTTTTATTCTGAATTTTTTCTCTCAAACATCTTTTGTAGGTATTCACCAATATCATCTTCTTTCTTTCTTTTTTTCCTTTTTTCATCAATGGGAGGGGCCAACTGGTAGATATTTAGGTAGGGATGCATGGATGTAACTCAGGATCAGCTCTCTTAGTAAATGCTGAGGTTGATTCCATGGGAGGTATTGTTAATGGTGGAGTTGGGATTGGTGTCAAGACCTCTCTGCACAGAGAAGCTATTGAGAGGGCTCAAGCAGAGCTTAGGTTATACCTCCATTCCATTGCTTTCAAAAATCCTTTTGGTATTCACATCCCTAACCACATGCAATTTTTCTTTTTCCAATTTTCATTTTTACCTGTTTATAACAGGCAGGAGTATGATGTTCGCGAGGAAAGAAGAAGGGAACTGGAGTTTCTTGAGAAAGTATGCATTTGATCTGCTCTTGCTTCTTCTTATTTGTTATTGATTAATATTAACAATAAAAAAGCTTTGCTTTCAGGGTGGCAATCCCTTGGATTTCAAATTCGGCAATGCAGTGTCAGTTAGTGTCCAGTCTACTTCTCTCACTGATCAGCAAGCAGAACATTTTGTTACCAGGTACGTTCTCTTTTTCTGCAGTGCACTGCAGAATCATAGATCTAGGTTGTAATGGAGTAACTAGCTGATGCATCACCTGTCCATTACTATTACAGTGAAGCGAAAGGTAGTTTTGCACTGACTGCCTCACCTCATGGTGATTCTGTAGAGAGTAGTGGTAGACCAGGGATTCCTGCAGTTTGTGAACCCATTAGTGCTGATAACCTCTTACTGTTTGATGGTGAAAATGAGTCACCTGAAGGTGAAACGAAATCTATGCATTCTCGTAAGAGGAATAATGTTGTTCCGTCAGTGCAATCTTCTCAGAGGGTTCGGGCTCAAAATGCTAAGGAATCAGAAGATTCTGCTATCTTCCGCCCATATGCTCGAAGGAACAGGTCAAAAATAAATCGAGATGGAGCACGGTCAAGTTCAACAGAGCTGATTCAGGGTCGAGGCAGTAATGTCTCTTCTTTACCTGCTCGTGGATCGTCAAAGGATGATAAGGATTTGACATCTGAAGCAAATAACCAAAAGGACAAGAACATGCCCCCTGTTAATACCAGAAAATCTGCAACTTCAAATGTTGATTTGGCTTCGAAGGTGATAACTTCCGATAATCAGTTGAATATGGAGTTAGATGGTGGTCAGGCTGCCAAAGCAACAACTGACCAGTCAAAAGGTGACCTATCTAAAAGCAAGGTTGATGTTACAGTGCCTAATGCAGCTGTTCAAGTGGAGTCTCACAAATCTCCAGTTAATGTATCTTCTGAGGAACCTGATCTTGTTGGAGGAAAGGAGCAGGTAGTTTCAACTGGTTCTGAATGTCCACCTGGAACAGGTGCAACCAAAGCTGAAAATGATATTGTTTTTAATAAGCTAAATGGGGTTGGCAATGCCAAAAGAGATGAGAAGGACAAACCACTTGATGAGAAAAATAGTAGTGTAACAAGAGGGGTGAAGGGATTAGATTCGGAGTCCTCTTGCACTGAAAATAGCTTAAGCTTAGATGTAAATAATGATAATGGTGTATCTATTAATCCAAAAAATGTTGATTCCAAAGGAAATCCCACGGAACAAACATCCAAAAAAGAGGAGTCACTAAACTTAGCTGTTGGCGATTTGTCAAAAGAAAATAGTGTGACCATGGCTGTTGATAATGTTGCTATTATTTGTGATACTAATACTTCCTTGAGCCAAAATCATTCTCTTAACAATTCTATGGTCAAAGTGGTGGAAGAAATTAGAGCTGAATTGCAAAATGGAGTGAATTGCCCTTCCAATAATGAGGTGCAACAAAGCAGTCACCCTGTAGCAGAAGCTGATGGGAGAACTAGTACTGTGCAGGGTGATCATTCTAACTCAAAAAGTGAGAACATTTCAACTAGTAGGCCTTTACACACCACGGGTAACTTTCATTTTGAGATTCCTGAGAGGACTTCGTTAGGAATAACTTCTACTGCTAATACTGATGTTCAGACCAGTTTGGATAATCATGTGAAAGTGGTGGACAAGGCACATGAAGATTCAATTTTGGAAGAGGCTCGGATTATAGAGGTGGTTTGTTTATATATTTGGTTTATATATGCCCTATGATCTCTTAAATTTAGATGTAAGATATTTGTCTTTAAAAAGTTTAAAAGGTCTCGCATTATGGTAAACAGGCTAAACGGAAAAGGATTTCAGAGCTATCTGCTGGTACCTTACCCTTGGCGAATCAGCGAAAATCTCACTGGGATTTTGTGCTTGAGGAAATGGCATGGTTGGCGAATGATTTTGCTCAGGTGTCATTTTATTAGATATAAATTAAATCCTTGGAAGCCTTTTTATTATTAGATTTAGTCTGGTATTGAAGCTGTATAAAAAGTTGCATAGAGAACATAATTGACTTAATATGCCCGCAGACTTACTTTTTTGTTCTTTATGTACTTATAGGAGCGCCTTTGGAAGATGACTGCTGCCGCTCAATTGTGTCGACGTGCTGCTTTTACCTCACAGTTGAAATTTGAAGAACAAAATCAGTTCTGGAAATTCAAAGGAGTAGCTTTAACCCTAGCTAATGCTGTAATGGAGTTTTGGCATTCTGCAGAGACGCATCTAAATAGTAAGGATAGAAGTCTTGGTCCAAAGAACTCTGATCATGATTTGGTGGGGTCAAGGGCCAATGACGTTACCGAAGACAAGAATGCAGAACTGGATATGGTACTGGTTATATTGTTGGACTTTGTTTGGGTCTTTATGTTTATGTACTTTATGCATGTCTCTTGTGATGAATGTTATGATGATAATTTTTTATGTTTAATTTTCTTACTGAACTATTATGCTAGTTTCTTCCATTTTCTCTTTAATAACTGGTTTTGTATGTTGTTCATTTTGGTTATCTAATTATGAGGTCTGTACTACAATATGTAATATGAAGGTAATTTTACTTAAACTGGGGAGGAAGAGAAGAGGTTACAATTCAAAAACAAGAACATAGGTCTACTATAGAAATTTGAGCATCAAACAAGATATTTTTGGCCAGGGCTCAGCCCTAATTTTTAATTTTAAACGATATTTAATATCAACATAAAATTTTAATTTTTTAGATTTAAAAGAAAGATGATCATTGAGGTTGAATACGCTTGGCCAGGTGTTGGGCAAGGATATCAACTTAAATATTTGGAATGGCTCTTGAGCTATTTGGCCTCTTTCTCCAGGCCTCAAGTTTTTTTTTCTGTTATGAACATTTCCTGATATTCTCTTCGTATCAATGTGCTTGATTGTTCTCTCTATCATTTCTTTATGTGCTCCATGTTTTGGAGCAGGGAATGAAAAAGGAGCACCCTGGAAAGGCTAATGATCTTGCAATTCGGGCATATGCTCTTAGATTTTTGAAATATAGCAGCTCCCCTGTTCCAAGACATCAAGCTGAAGCACCAGCAACACCTGACAGAATATCTGACTCTGGCATTATAGACATTCCTTGGAATGAACACCTAACAGAAGTATGGCTTAATTTTTTTCCCTAGCTTTTAAGGTTTATGTACACAGTATTCTTGGCTTTTGAATATAGTGTTTTGATCTATCTCTTACAATAAGTTGCATCTTGTGGAAATATTTCTTTTCCTTTTTTTTTATTATCTTTGCTCTAACTTTTTATGTGCTTTATTTTCAGGAAAGCCTCTTCTATTCAGTTCCTTCTGGTGCTATGGAAACCTACCGGAGATCTATTGAATCTTATTTGGTACAGAACGAGGTAAATTTAGGTCCTTAAAAAGTTTATACATGACCTTTTCCTTTTGCTTCCCTTATATTTAATAAAGCAGATTCGTTTATAAAAATCTCAAGAACAGAATACTGGAATGATATAATGCATATGGAAAAAATACATCAATTATGAACAACATATACCTATTTTCATTTCTTCTAATTTTTCAGTGCAGGTTTTGGAATTTTTTTCCCAATCTTGATCATCATTTTATTTTTTATTTTTTAGAAAACCGGGAGTAGTGCACAAGAGGAAGTTGAAGCATCTGCTTGTGATGATGGAGCAGGTAATCATTACACCCTTTTTTGGGGTTATTTTTCATTTAATATTTTTCTGTTCCTTACAACTTTTCAAATTCAGAGTTCGGATATGGTGACTTTGTGTGTGATGAGGATGAAGGAGAAACAAGTACATATTATTTGCCTGGAGCCTTTGAAGATAGAAAATCATCAAAACAAAACAAGAAGAAGCGGAAGAACCCTATGAAGTCATATCCTGCGAGACCATATGAAACTGGTGCTGATTTGCCATATGGAAACTCTGCTCAGCAGTCCATGTTGATTGGTAAAAGACCAGGTAGTAGTCTAAATGTTGGTTCCATTCCAACAAAACGTGTACGCACTGGTTCCAGACAGAGGGTTTTAAGTCATTTTAGCAGTGCCGCTGCTGCTGGAGGTTTACAGGCTCCGTTGAAAACAGATGCTTCTAGTGGGGATACTAATTCTTTTCAGGATGATCTGAGTACTTTGCAAGGAGGATTCCAGATCCAGAAAGGCATGGAGGTTGAATCAACTGGGGATTTTGAAAGGCAGCAACCATATGACTATGAAGAAACACCAGCAAAACCAAAAAAGAAGAAAAAGGCGAAGAATATTGTATGTCGGAATTCCTTTGTTTTAACTGAATGGGTCTGTTAATCCAGGAATGGTATAGATGGTTTCCTTATTTGTCTTCATAGTTTCTAAGTCCCTTAATTGTGATTTTGGTAGGGTTCTGCATATGATCAGGGTTGGCAGCTGGAATCTACCATTCAAAATGAACAGGTGAATTTGTAATAAAGATTATGCCAATTTTACTTTGATTTAAACAGACTTGTTTTCTTTCTTTTGCTGCATTGTTTTATTAAATAGTATATTTATTATATAATTAAGGAAAAAATCTAGATGAGTAATTACAATTTTAGGCTATTGCACATGTTACTTTATAAAATGCAATTTTACCCATTCATTTTTCAAGGTAATTAACAATTTTTAAGTTAATTCTAAATAACCTTTATGTCAAATTTGTTTCATTTTCTTGGCTAAGGAAAATTTTATTTCGTTTAGTATTTTCATTCTTACATCAGAGCAAGGTATATGCAGATCAAGTTGATATCATTGTTTGCATGATAGATATGAGGGCCACTTAAGTCATAAGTCCTTTTTGCAGCATTGAACTTTATCTGATACTCTACTGTTTTTCCTCTTATATTTCCCAAATTATTTGTTCATTGTGCTCTTTTCAAATTGAGAATCTTGTTTTCGATGTCACTGTTTCTTTGGCAGCGAGATTATTTCAAAAAGAGATCAGAGAGTCATCATTTTGATTCTAATGGATCCAGTGGTAAAGCTCTTTTTCTCATATTTGGGTTAATGGTTGGTTCCTTGGTTGGTTATATCTATCCAGTGCCAAGTTCTTCACACAATCATCTTTTTCTTAGTTTTATATGGGCAACATAATGCCAAGAAGCTGAAGGTAATGAAGCAACAGCCAGATAATGCCTTTGACATCAATCCCAGTGGATCCATTCCTTCACCAGTAGGATCGCAAATGAGCAATATGTCCAACCCCAACAAAATCATTAGATTAATTCACGGCCGTGACAGAGGTAGAAAAGCCAAAACACCTAAGGTAATTTTTACTTGACCCTTTTCTTTTTCCTTTTTGTCCGGTTGATCATGTGCTTCAGAGTTTTTTTATCTTGTGTAATTATTTTAATCATGTAAACTGCATCTAGATGTCTGGTGGCGAGCCTGGTTCTGGTTGTCCATGGTCACTATTTGAAGATCAGGTTAGTTTTTGTTATCCTGTTTGTATTCTTCAAATTCTGTTAGCATTAGCACTAGGGCCTTGAGATGTTACTGCATTTATGTTCAGGCTCTTGTTGTCCTAGTACATGACATGGGTCCAAATTGGGAGCTTGTAAGTGATGCCATCAACAGTACCCTTCGATTCAAGGTTAGTGCTTGAGCTGTCTTTACAAATATATTCTGTTTTCTGGGCTTCCTTCTACATCTACAGAAGCCTTACTCGTTTTTTTTTTTTATTTTGTTTCCCTCACCTTGGTCCTCCATTTTTCTGCATTGGGAAACTATCTCATAAACTTCTCAATGTGTCTAGTGCATATTCCACAAGCCTAAAGAATGCAAGGAACGACATAAAATTTTAATGGATAGAAGTGGAGATGGAGCTGACAGTGCTGATGATCAGGATCTTCTCAGTCATATCCATCCACATTGCCTGGCATCCCCAAGGTCCTCTCTGTCCTTAACAACTAGTAGATTCTCATTTTTTTTAATGTATTGACCATCGACAAAGGAATGTTCAATAGCTAATTTTATAGTCTATGATTGGATTCTAATGCTGTGTGTCATGCAGGGAAGTGCAAGACAGTTGTTTCAACGTTTGCAAGGGCCGATGGAAGAGGATACTCTCAAGTCTCATTTTGAGAAAATTATACTTATTGGCAAGAAACAGCACTACCGGCAGAGCCAGGTACATGTGTGATGCTTTTTAAATCTCTAGAGATCCTAACTTGTTTGGTAGTTTTAGAACAAATGAGGCTGATTTAATCAATCATTGAATATAGTCATTTTGTAATCTTCTGTAATATCAATTTTGTTGTACTCCTTTCATTTTGAAACATTAGAAATTTAGAATCGACCCTTCAAGGAAAGAAAACTGTCACTGTTTAGGATTCTACTTGACATGCTTAGTTGCATCTTGATCAGCACCTGTATGCTGTCTTCCTTTTCTTAGATGAAGAAATATTGTGAATGATGTTTAATATATTGTGATTGCAGGTGCCTAAGAGACCGTGATCGAAATGAAATACTGAACTTCAGTAAATTATTAGAAAATTCTGAAAATAAATTATAGGTGTAAACAGCACACCTGCAGTCCCATTTTCCTCCAGCTGCCTTCTTAAAAGTTAAAAATTGTTTCTATTAGGCTTCTTGAATATACTTATAGAATAAAGGCTTGCTATATGAATCCATAGTATCCTTTGTACTTTTTGCTTCACTTAGTCTGAGCAATTCATGTAGCATTTGAGTGGTAGTATAAAACATTAATAAATAGTAACATAAGTTGAATCGCACAATTTATGGAGATTTTGAAGATTGAGATTTACTTTGAAAACTTTGAATTTGCTGCCTCTGAACAGATCAAAGTTGTGGCCCAGTGTATGAACTTGTTTAACATAAGATTGTGCTGTTAAGGAAATTTCGAATTATTTTGAACCAAGATTCATTTGGCTGTCAGATATCTTTCGCCTTCCATTTTACAATTTTGTTTGCATTCTCTGGTGTGGCAATAAGTATGGATTTGAACAAAGCCTACACTTTTTTTTTTTGATAAGATGAACAAAGCCTACACTGTTAATACTTGAAAGCATCCTTGATGCCTTTTTTGACTTCGCCTTGATTCTTCCAAACTATTGACTTGTTTTTATCTTATCGTGTCTTGTAAAGCATGATAACCGGGATTCGAAGCAGATAGTGCCTGTCCATAACTCCCATGTTATTGCTCTTTCACAAGTCTGCCCTAATAACCTAAATGGAGGGGTTCTAATGTAAGCTTTGTTGTCCCTGTTATTATTAATGTTTTTAGCTTGTTAGATCAATCATCGTTATCAGTTTTTCACTTTCTTGCTATTATGTTAGCGCTTTTATTGCAATGTGCTACAACATCATTTTTATTTTTAATTGTCTGGATAAAGGCCTCTTGATCTTTGTGATGCCACTGCATCAAGCCAAGATGTCCTACCCCTTGGATATCAGGCTTCTCATACAAGTGGTTTAGCAATATCAAATCAAGGAGCTGCAGGATCAATATCTCCAGCCTCTGGAGCAAATTCGTCACTAAAGGGATCTTCTGGCATGGTTCTTGGCAATAATTTAGCATCACTGTCTACACCACTCAATGCATCTGTGAGGTATTAAGCTATTGTGTGGATTTGTTCCCTGTGCCTGCATACTTCCGCATGCTAATGGCACAAATTTTGGGTTATATTTTTACTCTCAGGGATGGTAGATATGGTGTTCCCAGAACATCTTTGCCAGCTGATGAGCAGCATAGAATGCAGCAATATAATCAAATGTTATCTGGCAGGAATATTCAGCAGTCCAACTTGTCTCTTCCTGGGGCTGTTTCTGGATCAGATCGTACGGTTCGTATGCTACCCGGTGGAAATAATTTGGGAATGATGGGTGGGATAAATAGAGGCATGCCACTGTCAAGACCAGGCTTCCAAGGAATGACATCATCAGCAATGCTGAATTCTGGCAGCATGGTCTCCTCCAATTTGGTGGGAATGCCAAGCCCTGTCAATATGCACTCTGGACCAGGTTCTGGTCAAGGAAACTCAACGTTGAGGCCTCGTGATACCAAACACATGATGCGAGTACGTTACTTTTATAAAGCAGTATAATCAAGTCTATACTTCAACATACTATTGCAGTTTGGCTGTTTGAGCTTCTTCTTTTCCATATAAATGGTTAATTGTTATATACCAATAATCAAGCCTATTTTTTCCCTCTCTTTTGATAGCCTGGGAACAGTCCAGAGACTCAGAGGCAATTAATGGTACCTGAGCTCCAAATGCAGGCTCAAGTGAATAGCCAGGGAATTCCTGCTTTCAATGGATTGAATTCTGCTTACCCCAATCAATCAACTGCACCATCTGTTCAGTCATATCTGGGTCATCCCCAGCAGCAGCTGCAAATGCCTTCACAGCAATCCCATGCACTGAGCAAATCTCATCATTCTCAACATCAGGGTTCCAATCATGCTAGTGGGCCGCAACAGCAAGCATATGCCATGCGCCTTGCCAAAGAAAGGCAAATGCAGCAGCAGCGTCTTTTGCAGCAACAACAGCCCCAGAAACAGCAGCAACAACAGTTTGCTGCATCTAGTGCTGTGATACCACATGTCCAACCTCCTACCCAACTTCCCATATCGTCTTCTCTTCAGAATAGTTCCCAGATTCAATCTCAAACTGCAACTCAATCGGTATCAATCCCCCCTCCATCTTCACCATTGACTCCAATGTCACTACAGCACCAACAGAAACACCACTTGTCCCCTCATGGGCTTGGTAGGAATCCCCAAACTGGCACTAGTGGATTGAACAATCAGGTTGGCAAGCAACGGCAGCGGCAACCTCAGCAACAGCATCAGCAGTATCAACAGTCTGGCAGGCAACATCCTCAGCAACGACAACAAACACAGTCTCAACAGCAAACGGAACTTTTGAAGGGAGTGGGAAGAGGGAATGTCCATGTGCATCAAAACCTTTCTACTGATCCTGCTGATCTGATTGGCCTCGGCATGGCCTCTAGCAACCAAACTGCTGAGAAAGGAGAGCAAATCACGAACTTGATGCAAGGTCAGGGCTTGTATCCCAGGCCTGGTACAAATCTCATCCAACAATCTAAACCTCTAGTTTCCCAGCCACAGCAAAAGCAATTTTCTGGGGCAACACCCCCTTCTACGAAGCAACTCCAGCAGATTGTTTCCCATTCTGATAATAGTTCTCAAGGTCAAGTTTCCACAGTGCCCTCTGGTCATACACCATCAGCTGTGAATCAATGCATCCTGCTAGCGGCTGCGGGTCCCAATCCCCAGCATTTGCGCCTACCATCACAGCCACACCAGAAGGTTAATCAAAGCCAATCTACTGTTCAAAGGGTGCTTCAACAGAATTGGCCAGTGAATTCTGATCCTCCCAGCAAATCTCAAGCTGACCAGCAGCAAGTGAACAATGCTTCACAGATGGGTACAACCACAACCACAGCAGGGTCCCAATCTGGCATTGATTCAGCTGACAACACAGTGCAAAATCTTTCTTCTGTTGGTTCTCAGTGGAAAGCATCAGAACCAGTATATACTCCTGGTATGCCAATTGTGGCCACTCAAATGGGATCCTTAGGGAGCCCCCCTCTTACAAATTCATCTGTTAGTGTTCCAGTACCTTCTGTCAGCCAAGGGACAGCACACAGACAATCATCAGGTGGCTTACCACCTCATGGGAATAAGGCTGGGACACAGCGGCCACAACAGCCACAAATACAGCAATCCCCAACACCAGCCCCATCTCAACAACATTATCAGCCGCAAGAGCAGTTACAGCATGACTGCATAATTCACCCCCACAGCAGCTTCCATTGCAGCAGCAGTCACAACAGCAAACTTCGCAACTCCAAGCTATACAAGGCAGCTTGTATCACAGGCCATCCAGTTCTAAGCTGGAGTGAAGCAATTTTTGGATGGATCAGTCCAACAGCGAAGGGTTCTAATAGGTTGGGTTTGCATGCCCTCGTAAGAGCAGTGTACAGGTACTAGCCATTTACAGATTTAGATAGGCTTGTTATAGAGTTATTACATGTTAGATTGGCATATTAGGAAAAGTAAGACGATTGAAATTATCATACCATTCTAATATTATCATGATAAATGCTGATCCCCGTCTCAAATTGTTTCTTAATTGGTCTGTTAAGGCCTTTTCTTGACTATTTGTCTACGCTCTCTTGTTTGAAAATTATTTAGGGATGGCTAGCTTTTACAGCTAGCTGCCTGCGGGTGCTTGGCTGGGTGTACTGTTTGAGATTAGTTTTTATTTTACTTTTTGTTAATTTCTTTGGTATCAAAATTTTCTTCATGAACTTTGGGTTTTATGCAGACGAAGCTGGTTATTCTGCGGGGCATTGCCAATGGAAAGAGGGGGTTTCTATTTGCAGGTTAGAAATTCACAGAAAAAGGACCTTTTTTTTTTCTTTTTGGGGGATTTTGGGAATTTATGTATATTAGCAGGTGATCTAGAGTATTGGGAAGGTTGAAGACGGAGTATAGAGGCATTTGTACATAAAGTCGTCTTTTTCTTGTGCTTTCTTCATCTCCTCCCTGCTTGTGTGCATAGGGGAGTCTTATTTGTTTCCCCCCAAGTAGATTAGTGCCTTGTATTAATTAATTACCCTTTTCAGATGAAGTGGATAGCAAGCAATCATTGTTATTAGGCAAAACAAGCCTTCCAAAATTTTGTGAATACAGACCAGCGCCTGTGACTTCCATCCAATCAATTATTGCTGTAATGATGTGTACCTGGGATTAATATCTAAACTAGTTGAATAATTTCTTTTTTCTTGTGTAAAAGATTGATGCTTACGAGCTTTACCAGAGGAGTTGATAAACAAAAATAGTGTGGAAGCTGCATCATGAGCTTAAATTACTAGACAAGCAGGCAGGGAAGTAGCTTGTCAAAAGATGTGTATCTTTGCCTGTAAAGTAAGAAACACTAGGAAGTAAAGTAACTGTCATTCAAAGGTTGAAAAACTAATTGGTAGGCCCAATCACAAGTTAACAACTTGCACTTCAAAACATCTGATTTAACAAAGGACTACATTTTTAACCCAACCGTTCATCCGCCAGAAATTCTGGGAGATTACATCAACAATTTTGTTATGTGAATGGAGATATCATCTCGATCCTTGTGTCTTCCATTTCCCTTACACCAGCATTCCCATCTCATTAACCTCTCAGCAAATCTCCTTATTTCCACTCCCACAGTAGTTACCTCCGCCATCTTCCGGTCTAACCCTTTTCCTCCGCCCCCTTGGGAACGCTTCAGCCCTAGCAGGATATAATTAGTACTGCGGTTTTTACTAAACTGGTCTTTTTCATCACCATCCTCATCTTGTTCCTCCTCAATAACGTCATCTTCTTCGAATTTAGTAATTATTTCCAACCTCAAGTCCATTTTCCGAATAGAAATTTACCCCTGGTTGAAGGAACCAAGGAAGGCAGCGGTTGAGCAGGGCTAGGAAAAGGCTCATGGACGAGAGCTTCCAAGGCGTTTTAGAAAGGCCAAGGTGCGCCAGAAGCGAGGCCTCGGCGTTCGGAGCGGTAACGACCGCGTAGCTTCTCCATCTTATGAAGGCACTGGAGGGCTGTTTTGTCACGGCTACTTCTTTCCATTGCTAGGCTTTGAGTTTGGTGCGTCGGAGAGAATGCCATTCTCATGGTAGGCCTGGATTAGATTGAGGGTTTCTTGTGTGTCCAGGGAAGTGGTCGGGGCATTTGTTTTTCAGGTTTAGGGTCGGCTTCTGGAGATAGATATTGCATTTTCTTTGTGGAGAATGGGGGTTTCTAAACTTCAGAAATAGTAGGACCGCTACGCTAAGGGAAGGTGACGACTGAGTACATATATTACAACATCGTTTCGTTTGGCCTTCATTTTTAAGCTTTGATTAATCTACATCGATCTGAGTCGACTGTTTTTAAAGATGTTTATAACTATTATAAATCGATTCTTCATTCTTGTAATTGCCTCATAGAGCTTGTTCGCCTCTCCCACTTTTGGTTTTGGTATCTACAAACAATAATATTGTTTCTTTTTCTTTGATCGAAGTATTGCATTGATTATTAAGATTGGTTCATAAAATTCTTTTCAATCAAAAGTCACACTTGTATATCATTCTTTATTTCACTCGGGAAGTATATTACATCCAACATACCACATTCTTATCAAATTATTATTTTTAATGAATTGAGAATAAATTTACAATTAAGTTTTATTTTGGGTTAAATGTACCATTGCTCCCTAAACTACACCATTTGTACCGAGTTATCCCCTAAAATATTTTTTGGGAACGTTTTGTCATGTGAAGTTTAAATCGTTACCTTATTTGTCCTAATATGTTAACTTTGTTAAAAAAACACGTGGGTAAATTACATATTCAGTCACTCATCTATTCATGAGGTTCTATTTTGGTCAAACAACTATTTTTGTTTTCAAAATAATCACTAAATTTAAAATTTTGTTTCGTTTTGGTCATCAAATTCGATTAGATTTATTTTTTAAATTTACAATATATAATAATTCATTTATATCATATATTATTTTACTCGACACAAATTTAATGTATAATAATACATAATATTATATCGTAAATAATAAATAACATATTTACTTTTTTGTACTTAAAATTTTAATAAAGAAATATTAAATGATAAATTAAACTATTATAAATATTTCAAGAAATTAAAATATGAATGATTCATTATCCATTTTATTAAACTATAATATTAGCATAATCATCAAGTAAAATTTAAACTATAATATTACCCAAAAAACTATAATATTAGTAAAATTTAAATCTTACTCATCCAAATAAAATATGACCCAAAAATTCATATAATATTAGCATAAGACTCAATTTGTAATTCCAAAATTCGAGATACATTATCCATGTTATTAAAGTATAATTCATTCAAATTCATACTATATATTAAAATTAATCCGTACATCAAGAGGGAGGAGCAAGCTACAACAGAGCACCCTCTTTTTCGAGCTTCATCCGATTATTATCTGCATTGTTTAACGAACCAGCAAGTTTCATGCTTCTCATGATCACCAAATCCTCCATTGTTTCTTCCATCAAGGAAGGCAATTCACCGTCTGATGCTAATTTCGTCAGGTCCGACTCATCCAAACCTTTCGCATGGCCGAGGCTGCATCGATTCGATCCGTGCTTTGCCAATGCATCTTTAAATTTCTTGATCCGCGTATATGATTCGGATCAAACATTGTCGATAGATTAACGAGTAACTAACCCGAACGACGTCGAAAACTTACAGTAGCATTGGTGCAGCTGAAGCTGCAGAGCACAATCGGCCTTCAGCACCTCTATAGTACCTAAAGAATCACAAGACATGCATATTGAGACAGTGGCACACATTCTTCGGTTCCTCATAGTTAACTTCGAAATGGATAATGACTCGTTCATATTTTAATTTCTTGAAATATTTATGATATTTTACTTTAACATTTGATATTTTTTATTAAAATTTTAAGTAAAAACAACTAAATATGTTGTTTATTATTTACTTTATAATATTATTTATTATTATACATTAAATTTATGTGTCGAGTATAAAATATTTGATATAAATGAATTCTTATATATTATAAATTTAAAAATTAAATCAAATCGAATTGGGTGACCAAAACGAAACAAAAATTTAAGTTTAGTGATGATTAAAAAAAAGAACTAGTTGACTGACCAAAATAGAACCGCATGAATAGTTGAGTGACAAAATATGTAATTTACCCATGTGTCTTTTAACAAAGTTAACTAACAAATTAGGGCAAATAAGTTAACGATTTAAGGGGCAACTTGATACAAACGGTATAGTTTAGGGGGCAATAGTACATTTAAGCCATTTATTTTTTAACCCACAAAAAATCAATTTAAGTATCGTACTATAATTCAAGAACCAATCCGCTGATGAAGTCATGTTCCAACTCTACCGTGACTTGACTGCAAAATAATACTTAATTTTGTTGCCTAAATTATTAATGAAGTAGTAATAATTTCTTCTTTTTTCCGCTTTAATTGTCTATTAATCACATTACAAAATGTACCATCTACATACATTCCAAGACTATGTATAAATCAGAAATCATAAAGCATCTTTAAAAAAAATTAGTTGACCCTATTCCCATATGTAATGGGGTAAGGGGAGGTAGGATAGTAGGTTGCCCCAACGTCAGGTTGAGAACAGCTTCCGTGAGAGACATCCGACAGTCAAAATTATGAATTGTCCACCGTGAGACTCGATCCCACGACCACAAGGTTAAAAGCATCTTTAGTATACACTATCAATCTATTTAAGCTTTAGCTTTACAAGCATAACATCATCAAATGGGTTCTAGGGCTGTGAAATGAATGAGCTCAAGTACTGTTCTTTATAAAAGCCAGCAAACATGACGCGCCAAAATTCATACTACGTGCAGAAACTTGAAGTACATGTAACTACTATGCTCTGTCAAAACGGTTTATTTATATGGTATACTATACCTCCCCTCCCCCTACCTCGCAACTTTGTATCCACCTTGGCTGCCATTTCGAAGACCACCCGGAAACAGAAACCAAAACGGAAATGAGATTTGAACGTTCAAAATAGAGACTGATGTAAAAGAGTGAGTCAACCTGATTGAAGCAGCCATTTGAGACGGGCATCCAAGTCCTGCTGATATATATAGACAAAACAAGATAGCATGTCGGCTAGGCAACCTCAGAGCACGATCAAAGCAAGCAAATTCCTTAAACAAGTCTAGTTAGAAAAGTTCAAAAGCAAGCAGTAAGATATTTCACTAGTAATACCAAAAAAAAAAACACAACCTTGGATCAATAATCTCCAATAATTCGTTATGGAATTTGTTCCCGAGAACATGTAAGATCAAAGAATACTCATTGATTAGTTGAAACCCAGTCTTCAAAACAAAAGCATGCATCGATACACATTTCTTTGTGATCAAACATTTCAATATTACAGTACATGAATCTTTGCAGTAGTATTTGGATCAAGAAAGCCTTTTGATGTGTTCCACAGTAGTTTGAATCCACTTCCAGCATTAACTATGTACATTTGATGTAAAGTCTGTGGAGAGAATGCAGATGTAAGCAACAATAGAGGAATTTATACATGAAAAACTAAGACACACACGCGCATATTTATATATATTCAATCAGCTTTATGAAACAATTAAGATACCTCAGGATAGTTGTCACCATCAATTTTCTGTATGTGCATCAAAGATCATGTGCAACCTTGCCAAAACTCACCCAGTTCTGCATAAGAAGGAAATAATGTGAAACATGAATACTTGATATGGGATTAAATGCATATGATTTTTTAATACTAACCAACCCCTGGACATCTAATATTGTTGTCGTACTATCTATGTGCCTCTGAGCAGCAATAGAACAGGCAGGAAACTTCTCCAAAAAAGCCTTCTCAAATCCCTGCACATGATATTTTAAAAATCTTTCAACTGTAGTGATCTTCATTAGCTTGGCAGGGTCAGTTTTACCAATTTTTTCAATATAAACAGGGTGACCCTGTTTGTCCACACCATGGTAACCATGGGGGTAACACTGCTGAACTTCAAATTCATCATACACAAAATCCTGCATGTTCATCATAGCACGTGTTAAAACTATGAAATACTAAACTACTACCAACAGAAAAGACATACAGCACATTCTTCACAAACAACAAGATAGACAAAGA